TGATATTAAAGCATTAATATCTGGTGGCAGCGAAGAGGAAGGAAGAGCGAGAACCTTGTGAAGACCAGGGGATTAGGGACTTCAGAGGCAATTGCGACAGATGCGTTCCAAAGTCACCACACGAAAACAGCACTGAGCGATGAAAAAATTTAGGTCCCAAAGATCTAGAATGGGACATAGAGACCTGCCTCTCTTGGGGACCAGAAAGTATCTGGAGAGAAATCCGAGGTCGGACGGATTTGGAGTGACGGGTAATATGGCTGATTTCTTTAGTAGAGTTTGAATTTCTGATTTGAGAGCGGTAGAGGAGGGAGTGTAAATGATTCGAGGAGGTGGGATGGATACATATCTATTGCATATCTGTGTACGATGGTGGAGAGTACCCATGAATCTGTAGTCATATGTGCCCATGTAGGGAAAAAAGGCACAAGATGGACGGAAGAAGTGGAAGATGGGTGGAGAGAAGGAGGAGTCGGGAAGTCAAAGACTCTGTTTGGACTTGTTTTCAGGTTTCCTGTAGGATTGATGGGAATGCTGACATTGATCATGCTGTCGGGATTGATAAGAGGCACACTGATGTGGTAAGTATTTCTGTTTTTCTGGAAATGGTTTGTATGATTGGTAAGGGTACTGGTGTCTCCACTGGTATCTCTGAGCTTTGTAATATGGCTGAACATTGTAAGAACGTGCGGTCTTCCTCATCTTTTGGAGGTTCTCCAGAATGTCATCAGTTTTGGCATCAAATAACTTGGTCCTCAATTCTCATTTTAGAGTCTTCCGAGATATTGGCGGACCGCATGCCTTCAAAGAGCTATTGCTGTCACTAGATGTTTCGAAGCAGCCTCTGTAATATGCCACACAGTAACTCTTTCCTGGCGGGCAAGGGCCATGGCCTCCTGGTGGAAAGAGAGGCCCTGCGGTTTGAGCTCTGCAGGAGCCACTTGCAGAGATGGTAGCGCACAGTAAGCCCCATAGCTGCTATGTAATTCGTAGCCCTGAGGGTGAAAGATGCCAAAGAATAAATTTTGCGTCTGATTATATCAGCTTTCTGCCTTCATTGTTACTTGGAGTGACAGTGGATCTAGCTTGAGGCCGTGCTTGAGTAGCATCGACTACCACTGAGTTTGGGGGTGGATGCTTAGCAAGGAACTCAGTTTCAATGACATGTGTCTTGTAGAGGTTCTCTACTTGACATGACATTTGTGACATCGATGATGGTTTAGACCAGGATTGTTTGATCAACTTAAGCAATGATGGTATGAACCCCACATGCAGTGGAGGCGTCTGGTCCTCAACGATATCCTGGTAAACCTTACTGGACTCTGACTGAGTGTGTTGTTGGACATCAAGGTCTAACGCTTTCACTATTCTCTGTACCATGGCAGAATAAGAAGCAAAATCCTCTGCTGGTGATGGAAGATTTCCATCTCCAATATCAGAGTCCGGGGTCACCAGGTTATGTGAAGACTCATGGAGGGACGTCGAATCTGAGGAGTCAAGATCTGATGAGGACTGTGAAGAAGAAAGCTCGAGAGTATCAGGGAGTGTTCAACTCTGTGACATTTAGCTGGTCAATGATCCTTTAATGACAATGTTGGTATGGCACTCCCCGATGGACATTTCCCATGCTTGGTACCATGCCTGGTACTGAGGGAGGGTTTGGTACAGGTAGCTGAAGTGTGTACCGTGGACGACTGGTCCTGAGAAGTGTTATGTTTGCCCTTTGGGGAAGTCATGGCTGACGTGACTCTATCCTTAGAGGCCACTGGTACCGAACGTTTACTGGCCTTATGTTTCTTTGGTACTGGAGGTGTCAATACTGAGCTGTAATGTCTCTTGCATCTTCTGGTACTGGTGATCAATACTGGTGTAGGAATCTTGTCTTTGTCTGATGACTCGATACAGGTTTGCGTCTCAGATGAAGATGATTCAGATGAGTTCGAAGGATAGCCATATCTGTATAGAATTCTAGGGTCATAGAACTGTTCCATATCATGTTGCCAATACCGATGGTGGTGACGATATGGTATGGTCAGTAGTCCATAAAATGAAGGCTCAAATATCTTGACATGTTTGGGCCAATGCTTTCGAGCCCTAGAGCCTTTTGATAGCCTCAGTCCTGAATGCCTTGGAGGCTGATACACAATGGTATCAGACCGACCAGTATGATGTATCTTGGCTTTCTTCTTTAACTGTAACTGGGTCTGGCATGGAAGGGGGCCTGGAGCCAGACACTGACCCAGAGCCATCCAGCGACCTGAGGCTCGAGTCAGGCAAACACTTCACTGCTGGTACCTCAGCCGAGGTATCCGCCCATGAAGGTGAACCTGCAAGCAGTGGAGGAGGATGCTTCAATATCGGTGGGATCGAATCCTTGTCTGTGTCCAGTCCAGATCAATTGTTTGTAGCAGATCAGAATATTGTTTTACTGTAGGATGATCCTTAGGTGCAGATTTCCTGGACTTTTTGGTTTTGGAAGAGATTGATTTAGATTTGGGCTTAGAAGAAGGCATAGAATGAGTAGTGGATCCAGAGGACTTAGGTTTAGTGACTTTAGACTTCAGAGATTGAACCGGAGAAGCAATAGGAGAGGCGGTTGGTAGTTGAGGGGGTTTGTGGAGTGTCCATTTTAGATGGCAGTCTAAGAGACTAATCCCAGAGGAAGGCACACAGTCTTTGTTGCCTTAACAGCTTGTTTTGTGAAGCTTTTACAGTGTGGACAACCAGCAGTTTGATGGGCTTCACCAAGACAAAATAAACAAGCTTTGTGGGCGCCCAAAGTCGGTATTTTATTAGCACAGGGAGCATACTTTTTTAAGGGGCCTGCTGGGGCCATAAAAGGCAGGAAGACAAAGCAGAGAAAAACAGAGAAACTAGGAGGGAGAGTGTGTGTGGAAATACAATGATCTTTTTATTTTCTTTTCTTTTCTTTTTTTGATTTTGTAGATAATCAGTGATAATCAATGGGAAATACGAACGATTAGAAGAGGAAGGAACTGACAATAACAATTTTCCTTTCAGGTGAACTGATGTAACCACAGGAGAGAGTTCCAAAGAGACCTCTTTTCGCAGTGGAAAAAAAGAATCTGAGGTAATCGCTAGGATGGGCCAACCACGTGGGGTGTGATCCTAGCGATCTTTTCAGCTCCAGAATATTCCAAGGCCTCTGTGCATACGCAGACTTAACCCATTAGTGTGCATTCACAGAGACCACAAATGATAGATGGTTAACATATAAAGATCTATTCATTGAGGAAGATGATGGACAACTAAGATGAAGAACAAGACAAGAAATGAATCAAGTAGGAATAATATGCCAGTGGTTTCCACACAGACAGCTATCAGAAACAATGAAAATGGATAATAAATAAATAAATAGGATTGGTTAAAGAACCTACGGAACTAGACAAGATAATATGCGGGAAAGAAAATCACCAAATCACAAAGTTGTTAAAACTATTATTGGAAAGAAATATGGAACAGGAAGTAATTAAAGAAAATATGACAGATGGATACAGGAATTAGGTAGAACAATTCAAACAGAGGATTGCTTTAGAGCAGGTAATGATAACAAAACCTATTAATAAGTACAGTTTTGAAAGAAAATTACAGTATATGAAAATATTATGTAGATGGTATATGACACCAGAGAAATGGGCAAAGGTGAATTAAAATGAGAACGATAAATTTTGGAGATGTAAGACAATAAATAGAACACTATATAATATGTGGTGGGGTTGCAAATTTATTAGGACATTTTGGAAAGAAATAGAAAAAATAATCACCATAGATTTAAAAATAAAAATGGAGATAAAACCTGAAACTTATTTGTTCAATATGGTAAAGCTAAACTCAAGACAAGAGACAAAAATGTGTTTATATATATTAGGCGCAGCCAGAATTCAAGTGGCAAAACAACAGAAAGACAAGGAGGAACCTTTGGTGGAGGATTGTTTAATAAAATCACAGAAACTAATATTAATGGACAAACTAACAGACTCATTGAAAGGAAAGAGTAGAATGGAGCATGACTCTCAAGGGGGGAAAGTAAAGAATTATCTTAAAGAGAAATGAAAGGAAGATTCCAAACCTGTTCCAAGTGACTTAGGCTTAAATTAGAAGCAGAACTGCTCTCAACAGAAATAAAAACAAAGTAAAGCAGATTCTTAATATGGATATAAAATAAGAATTAAGAAAGCTATTATTAAGATTGCGAAGAAAATAAATGGTGGAAAACAAGGAGGTAAAAATGTTAAAGACTTACTGTCTTTCAAAAGAGATAATAGAAAGTTATTTTGGCTATGTGCTAATATTGTGATAATTATTTACTTATTTTTATAATTTCTTTTTAAAATGCAATAAAGATTAAAAGTAAAAAAATAAACTACTGCATTATTAAAAACTTAAAGGACTGATTTATTAAACATTGGCTGAAATCCTGTTGCCTAAACTTACACTGCATAAGGCTGATATAATCATCCTTTTTTTGGCAATTAAACATTTCCCATCCTCCAGCATCTCAAGGTTGCAAGGGATCCCTTTTATCATGGGGAAGCCACTAAGGGCCTCAGGAGGATGTGTGTGTTTGATTTCCCAAACACTGCCATAGTTGATGTCATCATTAGCCTTCAGTGGAATAAGTTACACTACTGGACAAACTTCCACATTTTACTTTGAATATGTTGTATTCCTTCTTCAGATTACATAGAATAAAAAAACCCAGCAGAATCTATGTATTCGTGAAGGCTTTCACGGCCGGGATCTAATGGTTGTTGTGGGTTTTTCAGGCTCTTTGGCCGTGTTCTGAAGGTTGTTCTTCCACAACAACCAATCTATATATGCATTGCCTGGCATAGCAAAAATGTTGAACTCTGTTCCCATCCCTCCATGAAGTCCTCTCTACCCCTTTCTACATACAAAACTTATTAAAAAGGGATGGGAATATGGTAACTACCATTAGTATTTATTTCAATTAGTATTTTCTGCCTCCTCAAACTTACCCTGAAGATCAAACAAGGAATCTGCAGCAGTGGCTTTATTTGAAGGTGCCTGTGTGATTGGTTTAAGAAATGTTCTGTACCCCTTTAAAATAGATGCCATGAAACGTAGAAAGGCTTCTTGAATCTCCATTTCAAATTGTGTCATCTTCTTCTGCCAAGAGAAGTCTGCCTCTATAGGTGTCATCTCAACTGCAGAGCCTTCTTGGGCTTTTCTGTGAACTGGGGCATAAAGGAAGAGTGGCATTGCATTTTTAAAAATTCTTCTGCCTCCTCCCAAATAAAGTTATCAAAGAAAAAAAGGAGATAGGCTTTTCAAAAACAAACATCCAAGAAAAACCTGGAAATGTAAGAATTAGGACAGTGCAGTTCAAACTAGCATAGCTTTGAATCTGACTATTTTTACTTCTATTAATATGAAACATTAAACCATGTGTTTAATGTTTGATAGTAATACACACATACAAACACAACACACAATCAAGTTAATTCCAATTTATGGTGACAGCAATAATTTAACCCTTCTGTTTTAATGCCTCACCTGCTCCACAGGTTTATTGCTAGATAAATACTGCTAGATAGTTATGTGTGTGCGCAAAAGCATGGGAAAAAACATAATCCACTCTGAGCTCCTTTGTGAAAATTAGGGAATAAAATTGTAATAATTTAAAATCATGTCTTTTTACACAAATGTACCTTTCCTTTTTGACTTGTGTCTTTGCGCCCAATTTCAGGAAGAACCAGCTTGATACTCTTTTTTTATGAAATCCAACAGCATGTGAGCATGACCTCTGTTCACAAAAGAGGACTTTCTCTTCCCTTCCTCCCTACCACCCCCACAATCTGTTCCAAAGGATTCTCCAGATCTCCAGAACACAATCTGAATGGGCAAAGGGAGAGAGAATAACTTCCTCCCTGTTCTGACAGAAGCCGCTCAGTCTGTGAGAGGGTTTATGTGGATCCCTCTCCTTGCACTCAGAAGACAAGTCAGCAGAAATTTCAAGTGGAAATGAAAGGCCTTGCAGTCAAGCTGCTAAAAGAAAACACCTACTGCTTCATAATGAGCAAGAGTCCGTATGAGGCATTCTATACCAGTGGTCCCCAACCTGGGGCCTCCAGATGTTCTTGAATTTCAACTCCCAGAAATCCTGGCCAGCAGAGGTGGTGGTGAAGGCATCTGGGAGTTGTAGTCCAAAAACATCAGGAGGCCCAAGGTTGGGGACCACTATTCTATACTAAGCTTTGAGGAAACAGTGCAACTTCAAAGTCTTTCCATTATTATGACATTCTTCTTTTGATTAAAAGCAGGTTTTTTTTTACTCTTTCCAGTGTCTTACCTAATGCCAACTGTGGGTACAGTTTCTTTAAGGTGCTGAGAAGGTTTTTGCATGGCTTCTTAGGAAGCTGCTTCCAGTTCATGTTCTTCTTATCATCTGATCTATATCACACATCAATTCAAAATTAGGAAAGTTATAAAGATGAAAAATGTATTGCTTCATTCTTAGGACAGTGGTGGCAAACCTTTCTGGGCTCGTGTGCCCAAACTGGAGAAAAAACAACAACAACCACTGCCAGAAGTGCTGGCGGTGGAACTGGAAGTGGTGAAAGGAAGGGGGAGTCCCGGCATGAGGTGCCTCGAGACCCCACTCCGGATCCACCTGCTGAAGCGCCAGCACCGCGGCTGCAGCTGCGTTCACAGGTTTGGCTGCGTGGGGGGGGGGGCGAAGTAGCAATCTGGTGACTTATGACTCACGTGACAGCAGAAAGGGCTCAACGTGCCAGCTGTGGCACGCGTGCCATAGGTTCGCCATCGCTGTACTAGGACTTCTTAATATCTAAATATGAAGAGAATTCAAAAGTACCCACAAGCAACTCTTAAACGCTTTTTCTTTCTCAAATGGAACATCTGGTAGCAGCCATTTCATTTTTATACAAAGAAAGCAACAGAGCCTCTCCACTGAATTGGGATCTAATCCCAACTATTTTTCTTCAAGCTTGATTTTGGCATCATTTCAAATGGCATCATTCCTGCACTCTTAAACATCACTTTCTACATTTTAACTGTGGCACTTCCCCGCCCCCAGTGAAAAACATAGTTACTCAGGTGCAGTTCCATTTGGAAAATCTATACAGTAGTACCTCGACTTGAGAACATCCCTATATAAGAACGAATTCGAGTTAAGAACAGCTCTGTTCAAAAAAGTTGCTTCGACTTGAGAACGGAGCCTAGACTTCAGAATCCAAAACAGAAAACAAACTTTCCTGCCCTTTTTTTTTTTTACTTACATTCACCTTAGGTCAAAAGAAGAAAAAAATAATCACCCCCTAGTGGTAGATACGGATTAACCGGCTTTCATTAGTTCCTATGGGAACTAATGCTTCGACTTAAGAACAGTGCCTCGACTTTAGAACGAAAAACAGGAGATATGGATTAAATGGTTTTAAATGCATTCCTATGGGAAATGGTGCTTCAACTTAAGAATGTTTTGACTTAAGAACGCAGTCCCAATACGGATTAAGTTCTTAAGTCAAGGTACCACTGCAACTTCATATCTTTACCAAATTTTTAAATGTGAATGACTCCTGAATACAAAAGCATTTTATAATATGTAGAAATCAAAATGTACAAAGTCACTCTCATCCTTTTCAAAACTTAGCAAATATACAGGAAGAACTGGAAATACACAGTGAATGAATCTGTACGTCATTCCTCTGGCACAGCAATTAATGCAAAGTTCAGAAACTATATATTTTGATATGGCACAGTGGTGGTATGTGGCGGAAAGCCCACGTCACTCCTGTCCATCATATGGAGCTCATGTGCAGGAACTTATGATAGGACAGGGGGCGGAGCTAGAGTGGCAGTTAGACAGCTAGAAAGAAAGGGAAAGTGAGGAGATTGAATTGAGGGGAGGGAGGATATTGAATTGAGAGAGTTATGACAGAGATTGGAAAGTAGGAGTGTTAAATAGGAAAGAGAAGGAATAGTGAATAGATAGATAGTCAAAGAGCATTGTTGAAGGGGTTATTGTGAATAAGTATATGCAAGCAAACGTGTAAACAAACCCAAGTACTTTAATGAGATATCTTAAACAGAAATAAAAGAACATCTGTGATCTACGGTGGTGGGGAACACAGTTATATTGTATTTTGATTTGTGTATTTTATGTTTATGTTTTAGATAAATAAAAACTTTAATTTTTTTCTTAAAAAATAACAGAGATAGTGGCAGATGCCTTACTGAATTACGTGTTGCATGCGCTTCGCTTCTGAGATAGTCGCTGATTTGGGAACCTCGTTTACATCTAGATGAAAGAAAAGGCTGTGGCAACTTGGTGGCATAACTCACATGACATCATCCTCATATCATCCCCAAACTAATGGGTTAGTGGAGAAATTTAATGGGACCCTCATGCGTATGATCAGAGCTTACACTGCTGAAAACTCCAATGACTGGGATCACAAATTGCAACACTTACTGTATGCATATCGATATGTGCCCCAGGAAAGCACTGGATTCAGTCCATTTGAACTGTTATTTGGGCAGAAAGTGCGGGGACCCCTAGATTTACTCTGGCAGAACTGGGAGGAACAAAAGGGGAAGCTCCTGAGACAGTGATACAGTATATAGACACCCTAATGAACTCCTTGCAGCAGTCTCTGAAGTTAGCAACAGAAAACTTGCAGAGCCAGCAAGGGAAGCAAAAGCTATGGTATGATAAAAGGGCCAGAGAGAGAACATTCAATCCTGGAGATGAAGTGTTGATGTTGAAACCTATTAAAGGGAATACTATAAAATGTAATTAAATTGGGCAGGTCCTTTTAGAATAGTCTCCAAAATGAGGGAAGTAAATTAAATAATTCAGGAGGAGGGAGATGCAGGTCGAAGAGTGGTCCATGTAAACATCATCAAGCCTTACTATAGAAAGGAAAATGTTGTCCTATATGCCATGAAAGAAGCAGACAACGGAAGACTTGAATTACCCTATTGGGAAGGGAGGGACGAACCAAAATATAACCCTGAAGAGGTTAAGATCTACCACACACTATCCCCAGAGCAACAAAATGAAGCGAGAGCCTTGCTGATGAAATACAAGCAGGTCTTCTCAAACAAGCCTGGTGTAGCAAAGGGAGCAGTGCACAAAATTGATACAGGAGATGCATCTCCACAAGCTGTCACACCTTACAGAGTGACAGGTCCATATGTGACCAAGGTTCGCCAGGAACTAGATGAAATGCTTAAAGAAAAAAACATTGTTCCTTCATCTAGCCTGTGGGCAGCCCCAATAGTATTAGTGGACAAACCTGATGGCAGCATCTGCTTTTGCACAGATTACTGAAAACTGAACCACGTCATGAAGCCTGATGCTTACCCGATGCCCGTTAGACGATTTAATCAAAACTATAGGGGGATGTCAGTTTATATCCAGTCTAGATCTGACTAAAGGGTTCTGGCACGTGGGGCTAGACCCAAAAGACCAGGAAAAGGCCACGTTCTGTAGCCCTTTTGGATTATAAGAGTTCAGGATCTTGAGTTTTGGATTGCGAAACGCACCAGCGACATTTCAAAGAGTCATGGACCAAACATTACAAGGGCTTAGGGAATTCACTGTAGCATACATCAACAATATAGGGATCTATAGTCAGACGCGGGAAGATCACCTCTGCTATATCAAGACAGTGCTACAAAGACTAAATGAGACCGGGTTAACAGTGAAGGTTAGTAAATGCCAGCTGGGTAGCTCGGAATTAAAATACTTAGGCCATATAGTAGGGGGAGGAATAATCAAACCCCCTAGACCTACATCAAAGAAAAAAGTTAGATCTTTCTTAAGGTTAGTCGGCTATTATTGGCGCTTTATACCAAATTTCAGCGAGATAGCTGCCCCTTTATGTGACTTAACACACAAAAGAAAGGCTGAAAAGATCCAGTGGACGAGCGACTGCGAGGAGGCCTTTGGGAAGTTGAAGACTGTGTTGATGACCGGTCCTGTCCTGAGAGCTCCTGGTTTCTAGCGGGAATTCACCGTCTTCACGGACACATCCAACATCAGGCTGGGAGCCATGCTGAGCCAGGCGGACGACAACAGAGATCATCATCCCATGACATACCTGAGTAAGAAACTACAGGTGGGCGAGAGACACCTGTCCTACCATCAAACGTGAGTGTCTTGCAATCGTATGGGCATTACAGAAGCTCAGGCCATACATACGGGGAAGACATTTTGTTCTTTGCACGGACCATTCTCCACTGCTGTGGCTGAGAACTATAAGGGCAAATAATAACAAGTTAATGAGGTGGACCCTACTGCTACAGGAGTTTGATTTTGAAATCTGGAGCATAAAAGGGACTCAAAATGTAGTGGCCAATGCATTGTCAAGAAGATCGGAAGACTGATAGATGGAAAAGAAGAAATAAGTAACTTACAATGTAATAAACTATTCTAGTTATGTACAAATAAGAGAAGTAATTAAAAATGTAATTTTTAGATGAATTAATGGTAAGTAGTGATAAAAGTAACAGCATTGTAGTAAATAAATTATAAGACATGCAGATGTTGATTGATGTATTTTAAATGTGTAAAGTGATAAGACTAATATGTGTTAAACCGTGATCAATAATAACATGCATGCCTAGCTACTGCATAAAAGAGTAAGTATAAATGTGATTTAAATGTGTAACTGAGAACTGTATTGAGAAAAAAATTGTTTGAAATAAATTGCTATATGATTCACACGTTGTTCATGAGGGTAAACTACTGTAAGTTTTACCCCATGAAACAAACTTTCCAAGGGGGGAGGTACATGGCAGAATGCCCACATCACTCCTGTCCTTCATATGGAGCTCATGTGCAGGAGCCTATGATAGGACAGGAGGGGCGGAGCTAGAGTGACAGTTAGACGGCTAGAGAGAAAGGGAGACTGAGGAGACTGAATTGAGGGGAGGGTGGATATTGAATTGAGAGAGTTATGACAGAGATTGGAAAGTAGGAGTGTTAAAGAGAATGGGAAAGAGTAAGAAAGAATAGTGACTAGATAGTCAAAGAGTATTGTTGAAGTGGTTTTTGTGAATAAGTATATGCAAGCAAACATGTAATCAAACCCAAGTACTTTAATGAGTGCTCTTAAACAGAAATAAAAGAACATCTGTGATTTACCAAATAAAAGATCAATAAACCTGTTGTATTGGCAGCACGCACTATATTTGGTATAGTGTGGCCTAGATCCACTAGTGGCAGAGTTAAAAGAGTAAACGCATCCAGAAGGTGGAACTGAGTATTTGGGGAGAACAAGCAAGGGACACTGAGTGGATGCGATAGGCACATTTAGTTTTTATCAGGCATTCACAGACTGGGACCACAGATGCATTCAAAAATAAAAAGACCTGTTTCAACCTTATTTTTGAAAAAAGTAGCATGGAGGATAAACAGGCTCCAA